TTCTGTGTTCCTTTGATCTCAGCTAATGCATAATTGTTGGTCCTGATTTCCCCTGACCTCGGCTCGCTATTTGACTATTCTTTGTGCATGTAGTGTTAGTCCAGCCATCGTAAGGTCCATTACATTACTAGTATTTGCATTCTGCGTGTAGGATCCACGAATGTTCCTGACATGTGCTATGACACTTCTCTCTCCTTTGTAGTGACGTGAAATCAAAGAGAAGAAGGATTGGGACACCTAGCATTTGAGCCACATGTTAGTTATTGGCTCTGCGTTTGTGAATGTTATTCTTACTACTATTGGCCAATGTAACATTTGTATAGACAATATTGCACTATTTTTGCATTTTCTCTGCTTTTTACAGATTTATGTTATAATTTCAACTCTAATGCTCCACCTAATGTTTGTATGATTTATTGATCTTTGGATGTGGTTTTTGGGGATTCCACCCAGGGGTTTTAGAGCTTTTACTAGAGCCCCTCAACCATAGAGTTCCTCGAAAAATAAAGAACGGATTGTATATTAACCTATTAGGAAATTGTACACGTTCTGATCAAAACAAAACCTGGATTTTGACTATATGTCTGTTCAACCATAAGTCACCTCTTTCATATGAAATACATCTACATGTATTATATGTAATTTAATTTCCCATCAAATATTCATGTGTAAAACATAATTTAATATGAATAAAATCTTCCAAAAATGTGAGAAAAGTCATAATACTCTTTGCTTTTACTGCAATAAAATACACATTTGTATTCAGCGATGTCTCACGAGTACAACTGTACCCCCTATGTACAGGTTCGATGGTGTTTTGTAAAGTTACAGGGTCAAATATAGCACGTTCTATTTTTCAGTGCATGCACGTAGAAATTTGCCAGTTTGGTTATTTTGCTTTGAGACCGTATCGTAGCCAATGAATTAGATTTTCCCCTATGATGGCATACCATTTGCAAAAGTAAACAACCAAAGGTATTGCAAATGGGGTATGTCCAGTCTTATTTTGGCCACTGTTTGTGACTATGACCGGACCCTTAAGGACGTTATAGAATCCCTGCCATCCTTAAGAGGTTAAGTGAATGAGTTTTGATGGTTTTAGTAAGCAAATTAAAAAAACAAACAAAGAGGGAGCCATGGTCGTTCAGCCCCCACCACGTGCAATGCAGATTTGGTAGAGGAGTGACCCCAGGACATCCTTACAACAAATAGGAAGGTCAGTGGCTGCTTTGAACACTATAATGACTTATCTACAAGATAAGGAGTTAATACGAGGAATATTGAATGGCTGTTCTGTCTCTACCCACCAAGTCGCCTAATATTTCAAGAGACATGATAATAGTATACTAGCATACAACTCAACTGTCATGAGTTCTGTGACATTTTCTAGATCAGGGGTGTCCGAAAGGTAGAGGCCCAGATGTTGTTGAACTACAACTCCTGTGATGCTTTGCATGCCTTTAGAATGCTTTGGAGTGACAAAGCATCATGGAAGCTGTAGTTTTAAAACATTTGGGGATCTACCTTATGGGCATCTCTATATCTTGGGCTCTTGTCCGGTGCCTCAGGTTAATTCCCTTCTGTCCAGTTATATTAGTAATTACTCTATAGAGGACAATGAATAGCCATATCTTGTGAGACCTCAAGGAAGAGACAACCCCAGCTTCTTTATTGGCAACTCCAAATAATTCAGACTCGGTTTATTGTATAAAGATCCAGGTGACATAGATCACAGTGTACATTAAAAGACATTGTACGAACATTCCTCCCAAAAAGGCCTTCCGGCTTGCTAATTGGTGCACAGTCTCTGCTTCCTTGATCGAGTACTTCTCCATGATCTTTATATGACTATTGAATAGGTCCATGGTTCTGCGGTGCAGGAGTACCTTCTCCTCAACAGTGACCTATTCCTCACTTTAAAACGCAATCTTGCTTGGTCTTTCCTTACTTTTCTTGGGATGCTGGGGTACAGGTTATTCCACCTCTTGCCACCAGTTTGTAATGATACGGCCCTAGAGTTTGTTACAGGGACAACAGTTCACTCAACGCTATTGTCTGTACTGTTTATTTTACATAAGCTGCACCTCTGACTGCTCTACTAAATGCTAGGACTCAAGGGACAAAACCTATTTGATCGGGGTGTGTTATATCCAATATTGGTTTCAATCTATCCGCAATTATTTCAGAAAATAATTTTGTATCCACATTAATTAAAGAAATGGAATTACAGCTCCTGACATTTTCTGAATTTTTCATTAATTTTATTTTTTTAAGCAGTGGTAGTATATTTGCTTTTAATAATTCTTTCAGACTTCTTTCGTTGCTCACGACCTCATTGTAGGAATTTGTTAATGTTCAGCTATCTAATGTTTATATAATTTTTTTTAATCTATTTGTTGGACCATCTGGTCCAGGGGTTTTGCAGCTAACCAATTTGTCTATTGCTTTAAGAATCACTTTTTCTTAAAAGTGCATTACTCTGTCCATTTGAATTTTAGTTATTTTGAGTATGTCTATGTTCTTTAGATACTCTTTTATTTGTTCCTCTTTCGGGTTATTTGACAAATTATATAGCTCTCTGTAATACCTTTGGAAAGCCGTACTTATATATTATATATTATAATATATCTGTTTGCTCTTACCATACCAACACCAGAACTAACAGAGAGAGGGCCCTGATTTAAGAATTCATGTGGTCCCCTCTATTGCAAGGGTGGCCAAAAGTTAGATCCTCAACTGTCGTACTACTCCGACAATGATCCGACAGTTGGAGATCTATAATTTGCTTATAGTTGCAGGGTTGTATGTAGCACTGAGCAGTGTTTGTGTGTTTGAATGTTAACAAGTTTCTGTATGGAGTATGTGTGTGTGAATGTAGGGGTGTGTTTGCATGTAGAGTTGGTTTTTGAATGTAAGTGTGTGTTAATATATATCGTTAACATTTGATTGCAGAGGTGTGTTTGTATGTAGTGTTGACGTATAAATGCTAAGATGTATGCACAAACACATACAATGCCACTTTAACCCCTTAAGAACTGAGCCAAATGTACACGTTGTGATCAAAACAAAACGTAAGCAAAAACATGAATTTGCGCTATATGTCTATTCAGGCATAATTCGTCTCTTTCATATTATGCGCACCCACACTTATTATATATAATTTTATTCTGGGGAAACAGGGCTTTCATTTAACATCAAATATTTAGGTATAAAACATAATTTAATATGAATAAAATATATAAAAAATGGAAGAAAAAAAAAATTTAAAAAAAAAAATGTTTAGTTCTATGTGACATTCTAACTGTGAAAAATACACATATATGTATTCAGTGATGTCTCACGTGTATAACAGTACCCCCTATGTACAGGTTTTATGATGTTTTGGGAAGTTACAGGGTCAAATATAGTATGTTAAATTTTTCAGTTTTTTTCACATTGAAATTCGCCAGACTGGTTACGTTGCCTTTGAGACCGTATGGTAGCCCAGGAATGAGAATTACCCCCATGATGACATACCATTTGCAAAAGTAGACAATCCAAGGTATTGCAAATGGGGTATTTCCAGTCTTTTTTAGTAGCCACTTGGTTACAAACACTGACCAAAGTCAGTGTTAATATTTGTTTGTGTGTGAAAAATGCAAAAAACTATTTTGAATGCCAATTTTGGTCAGTGTTTGTGACTAAGTGGCTACTAAAAATGACTGGACATACCCCATTTGCTATACCTTGGGTTGTCTACTCTTGCAAATGGTATGCCATCATGGGTGTATTTCTCATTCCTGGGATACCATTGATTTTGATATCAATATATATATTTTAATTTTAAAATACAGTTGGAATGAAATTACACATATATATACATATTTTTATTTTATTTTTTAACGTATTTACATTTATATTTATTTTATATTATATAACTATATATAATGATAATTATATATATATATTTAATCAATATCATTGTATGTGTATTTTGATATTAATATATATATATATAATTATATATATATATATATATTAATATTAAAATACACTTAGTATATGTGTATGTGTGTATATGTGTATATATATATACTTAGATCATATATATATAATAAATAGATATATGATCAAAGTATATATTATTTATTTTTACACTGTTTTAATGGTTTTTATTTTATTTTCAGGCAGCAAGGGGAGTACCTGTCAATACAAGCACTCCCCCTGCTGGCAATGCCTTGGGCAGCTAAGCCGTCCATGTGATCGCAAGGTCCTCACAAGGACCTTGCAATCACATGGCCCAGGGGGGCCACAGATGAAGGAGGGGGACTCCCTGGGCTCCCAGGAAAGTCCCAATACCAAAATCGCCAGCGTGGGATCGTCGGCGACTGTGTAAGTACATAGGACGGTGAGGACGTGCTAGGTCGCCCCCCGGCGTTTAGAGCCAGGTCCCTAAGGACGGCATAGCACGTTCCCCGTCCTTAAGGGGTTAAACACGCTCTGATACACACTTATATAAGGAAAACAACAATGAATACAAAAAGGTGACTAAATTGGCTAAACTAGAAAATGAGAAAGCAATAGCCAAAGAGTGCAAAACAAACCCCCAAAAGTGTGCATAAGTTCTAAAAAGGGTTTTTAAAAAGTTTTTTTTGCTTTCCCCTGGTATCCTGAATATTTTAGCTGCATCAATTGTACAGCTTGCTTCTCTTTTCTGTTTACTGCACAAATGATGAGCCCTTAGCAATATATCACTGATACATGTAGGCTCAGGAGTTACAGCTAACATGGCTTCCCTTATGTTATTGTCCAGTGCATCTAACAACATTACTCCATGTGTCAACCCTCCAAGTTCAAATCCAGGATTACCCACACTTACATGCTCCATGATTGTTACAATCCTCGCTGACAATTCACATGGAGATTTTTCTAGGCAGAGACCTTATATAAAATATTCTTTGTACTATGATTTTGGTTACCATCTATTAAACAATTGTTATTAAATAAACATAGGTAGTATAGCCTTTCTGCTAACAGTTTAGAATTTCAATCTAAATGTGAGTTTTATGAATCAGAAAATGGTGAAAGCGACAAATTTGATGTTTTTTGAAGTCATGTCTTTATTTAGGGGCATACAATATTATACACAGTAGAACATTTTGGTAACAATGCATATTGCTATAGATGCAGTTATACAGTTTTGTATATAATTGATAATTAAACAATTAATGTATATCTGTGTATTTTTTTGAGAAATATTTCTTTTGAATGATAAAGATGATTTGAAACGCTGCAATCATTTCTTCACGCATTGCTTGTCCTGGGGGCACTGTTGGATTGGCTTGCACGGTTCTTTAAGGAACAAATAAAAGACATTGCTGTTACTACATGGCTAAAACATTTAGGGGCTTATTCACTAAACATTAATTGTAGTGAATTGAAACAAAATTGCAAAAGTAAGGCAAAAATAGCTTATTCGGAAAGATTCTGCACCCAACTGTAGTCTTGGCTATATTGGTTGAATTTTGCAGGTTCTGTTTTAATTCTCAACTATTTGTTGTTTAGCGAAGATGCAAAATATCCAGAGTATTGCAGTATGCAATGTTCCCTTTTTTATTGGACTATCATAATATTTTAAAGACAAGCTTTCGAGAGTTTTCCTCTCTTTCTCAGATTTTTGTCTACTGGACTAATACGGCTAGTCCAATCTACACTTGTTTAGCAAATAAACCACTTTAAAAATGCACAAATGTTATAGACAACCTGGGGTGTTAGACCAATTGAGGGGCAAAGGAAGGACTTGGAACAGCAAGATACACGGACGTTGAGTAATTCACCTCCACAGACAAGTTGTGTAGAATTAAACGGATACTCTAAGCTTCAAAAACTATTTGCAAGTCCCGGATTCAATGGTCCTCTATGAGAAGAATGAGATTGATGTTGCACAGTGACTGGTGACGTGTTAGAGTGTTAATTTATGTAAAATATTTGTTTGATTAAATGATTAAAAGAAATTCCATTCATAGGTACAGCTGAATAGTTGTATCATTTTGTAATGACAGATGTACTCACTACAGACCCTTGTTCCAGGACAGGCATAGGCAACTTTCGGCACTCAAGATGTTTTGGACTACACCTACCATGATGCTTTGCCAGCAATATGGGTGTAAGAGCATTATAGGGGATGGAGTCCACAACATGTGGAGTGCCGAAGGTTGCTTATCGCTGTTCTAGGACAATGGTAGACAACCTTCAGAACTCCAGATGTTGTGCACTACATCACCCATAATGCTCTTACAGCCGTAATGCTGGCAAAGCATCAAGGGAGATGTAGTCCACAACATCTGGAGTGCTGAAGGTTGCCTAACCACGGTCTAGGAGTTGCACATCTGGAATCAGTAATCTGCATGTGGTGAGAATCATTCAGTGGAGGCAAGGCACACAAATTAATTTAAACTCCCATGAGTCCATGTACCTCCTTGCAATGCGTTGGGTACAACTCTGGCACACAAAGTGTTACTATACATGGCACATTTAAAGTGTATATGTTTTAATGGCTGGATTTTGCTTTACCTTGAATAGGTGGGCATTTTTGCACTGGTTCAGGGCACACTGGCTTACAAACTGAAACAAAAGAGAAACAATCTTCAATAAAAAGAGAAGACAAAGTAATTCTTTAACTTAATGAAATCCCGTCTACTTTGCAGTGTCACAATTTGATTTGTTCTTGTTAAATGTACTTATTGTGTGAGCCAAATAAAATATCAGAAGAATAAACATCAAGGTATTTCTGTCTGATTAGAGAAGATGACTCTAACAGTGTCTCCAAGTTGAGGCAGCCTGAATTCTCTGACCAGTATTGTCACCGAGCAATGGCACCAATATGGTCACTCAAAAAATACATTCACCACATCATGCCATTTTCACGTACTGGCTAGCACTGTAATTATGGATTAGTCTTTACCTTGAGGAGGTGGACATTTTTGCACAGGTTCAGGACACACTGGCTTGGAAGCTGAAATAAAACAGTGATTTGTGTTATTCTAGCGTATATTGGAACAATGTCATATTCCATACCTCCCAAGTGTCCCTTTTTAGTAGGGACAGTCCCTATTTTGGCAGAAATCTATCTTTTCTATCCTAATGTGTAGCTTTCCCAGGAGCTCGATATTGTTGGTGTGTCTGAGTGTATAGCAGATCTCCGCAGCAATAATACTCCTAGTAATGTGTCTTTAAACTACAAGTAATGTGTTTTGAAATAAGTCTGTGTAAATAAGGTACACTGTTTTTGTTCTAAATTACATTTTAATTCTATAAATTATTATTAGAAAATCACCTAAAATATCTTAGAACAGACCGCCACTGGTCACACCCCACTCCCACCCCAAAAATGAAATTGTTTGTCCTTTTGAAATGTTGGGAAGTATGCATATTTTAAAGCACACACATATGGATGCATTATATTTACATAAACCTATTAGCCACATTCCCTCTTTTTACAAAGTAACTTCCTTGTTAGATATATTTTCATTAAAGGGACACTAGAGTCATCTTAAGAACTTTAGCTTAATGAAGCAGTTTTGGTGTATAGAACATGCCCCTGCAGCCTCACTGCTCAATCCTCTGCCATTTAGGAGTTAAATCCCTTTGTTTATGAACCCTAGTCACACCTCCCTGCATGTGACTTGCACAGCCTTCCATAAACACTTCCTGTAAAGAGAGCCCTATTTAGGCTTTCTTTATTGCAAGTTCTATTTAATTAAGATTTTCTTATCCCCTGCTATGTTAATAGCTTGCTAGACCCTGCAAGAGCCTCCTGTATGTGATTAAAGTTCAATTTAGAGATTGAGATACAATTATTTAAGGTAAATTACATCTGTTTTAAAGTGAAACCAGTTTTTTTTCATGCAGGCTCTGTCAATCATAGCCAGGGGAGGTGTGGCTAGGGCTGCATAAACAGAAACAAAGTGATTTAACTCCTAAATGACAGTGAATTGAGCAGTGAAATTGCAGGGGAATGATCTATACACTAAAACTGCTTTATTTAGCTAAAGTAATTTAGGTGACTATAGTGTTCCTTTAAGATCTGAGCTGCTGGCATACCTCCACCCCATAGCCAATCACTGTCATCTTATTATTTGTCTCCAATTTAGAATGGCTTTCCATTTTGCACAGCTTTGAAATGTTTGTTTAATGGTGCAATAGCTTCTGTGAAATTCCACCAATGTGTCACGACTTGGAGAAAATACGATTATTAAAGAATCATGGGGCTTACTCCCAGGCAGTAAATAAGCTTGAATTGGAAACTGTTTTTCTTTTCAAAATGAAGATGAAAATATAAATACAATATTAAGATAGAAAATGGGATCATGCCAATGAAAACTCCCCTTTAAAGCATCTTTATCACTAAAAAAAATAGCATATAGCTAAGCTGCAGCTAAATGGCCCCCTGGGTCTGAATCGCTCTTTATGTTTTTTCTTGAGTGCTCGGGTTTTCATAAAATACATAATTAAAACTAGGGACTACGTTTCCTTATCTATAGAAGTCAACTTGACAAAAGTTGACAATTGGCAGGGCTTAAAGCAAGCTTCTGTTTCAATTAGCCAATCAAATTTACCCACAATCCATCAGTAAACTCAATCTCACAGTAGGGCAGCAGGCATCATGGCAAAGGAGAACAAAATGGCTGCACCCAGATATTGAGATCCACCACAAGGAAGAAAAGTTTATATATATATAAATTATGACAAATGGCAAGAGAGGGAGTATAAGCATTAAAATACAGGGGGGATAAGGCAAAGAAAACCAGAGGAAAGAAAAATGACAGGGAACTATAATTGTCTTTTCTCCAACTATACATTCAATTTATCTGAACGTACAATAAGAGGAGCAACTTACGCTTGTGGCATTGCTGGGGTGGAGGACATGGCTCTGGGCATGGTTCTTGGCATTTCTTCTGTTGTCCTCCCTTAACTCCAGACATGATTCTCAGGTAGAGATCAGCAAGTTATATGTCAGGAAAATGTGAAGGTAAAATAGTCAATGATGTTGGTCTTTCTAACTTGGTCCTTTTATACAGAGCATTGCGATGTCAATATCTGTTGTGAAACACAGCAATTATAGATAGAGTCACCTCCATTACTCAGAGACCCCAGTATCGTTGAGAAATTCAGCTTGTGTATTTGCATATACCTTTGTCTACCTTAAAACGATGAGTCGATGCTAATAGTTTCTGAAATATTCTTCCTGAATTTGTTTTGTGTAGCACATAATTATGGTAAGAATAGATAATAAAATTACAGAGAGAAAACGCCTGTTTAATCATTGTAGTATTTACACACTCCAAAGGTATTTTCGGTTTTGTTAATTTGCTGTCATTGTTATAGATCCTTTTATATTCTTATTGTTTTTAGTAAAAGAAACTGTAACTATTTCTGAGTTAGTTAAAATTATAAACTGCAAAATCACTGACATAGTTATTGATTAAATATGAATTGATGATGTGAATTGAAAGTGAATCTAAAATTTGAATCCAAAATATCTGAATTGGAAAAATTCTTCATATTTCAGTTCAGATGTTGTGCTCTACAATTTAAAATTTGTTTCATATTAACTTTCAGTTCTTCACAATTCACACATTAGTTCCCACATTCCAGCGGCGATTGTTCGAGCATGTGCCTACTCTACTTTCTTGTCGGCAGGAACGGAAGCAGGGGGGAGGCATCTAGGAAGCAGCTCTCCTATCCTCCTGCGAGCTGTGTGGAGCGGTGCCGCACGTTACTATGGCAACGCTCCACACAGCATTGCGCGGGAGGACAGGAAAGCTGCAGGACCTGTCCTCCTTTCCTACATACTTACCACCACCAGACCACCAGGGATGGCTGTGTTCCCCCCCTCCCAAAGGTAAGAAGAAGGGAGGGGGGATACTGATTCAATATGCTTTTTTAAAAAAGTGTTTTTAATGTATCTTTAACCCCTACCCCCCCCACACAGCAGCACCGCACACCCCCCACACACACACAGCACCCCCTACTCCCCACACACAGCACCCCTACACACACAGCACCACTACCCCCCCACACACACACAGCACCCCTACCCCACACACACAGCACCCCTACACACACAGCACCACTACCCCCACACATATACACCCCCACAGCACCACACACCCTCCCCACACATAGCACCCTACCCCACCCACCCCCACCCCCACACACAGCACCCCTACTCCCCCACACACAGGATTGCTATACTCTGCATGCTCCCCTGAACTTGCATCACTTAGCTCTTTTAAGAGCTTGTTCCTGACACGCTCTCCTTGGAGGAGAGGTCTTCCCCACATGGTCCTGGAGGACAGAAGCTGATCCAGGGTGGAAGGAAGACGGCGAGACTCCAGTTAAGCTACAGCGGTTGTGGAGTCTGCCGTGGTTGTCGTCACTGGTGCAGTGCTTGTGGTTCTCAGCGCAAGCTAGGAAGCGCCCATCAACGGAGGGTACTCGGTCGGAGTACGGGAAGCTCCGTTACAGGTCCTTTTCCTTCCGCCCCAATTCTAGTCCATCCTAATCTTAGTCTTCCATTTCTGTTAGAAGTCGATGCATCAGAGACTTTTATAGGAACAGTGCTGTCTCAGCGTAAAGAACCTGATCAACCTCTCCATCCCTGTGGATTTTATTTAAAAAAAACTATCTGACACTGAGAGGGGGTATGATATTGGAGATAAGGAACTCCGTGCTATTATTTTGGCATTGAAGGAATAGTGACATCTTTAAGAAGGTACTCCAATTCCAATAACTATACTTACAGACCACAAGAACCTCTCCTATATTAGAGAGGCCAAACATCTGTCTTCCAGCCAAGCTTGTTGGTCTCTTTTCTTGACCAGGTGTAACTATGTGCTGACATATAGACCTGGGTCGAAAAACTCCAAGGCTTATTCATTGTCCAGACAGTTTGAACCTCTTGCATGTCCTGAAATTAGTATGACTTCTATTGTTCCTCAGCAAAGTATTATTGCTAATACTAGAATAAATATACAGTCTTCACTGGTTTCGGACATTTATTTCAAACAAAACCTAGCTTCTAAGAATCTTCCTGAGTTATTGTTTTGTTTCCATGATAGTAGAATCACAGGTCACTTAGATATACGCAAAATTTTCAATTTGATTTTGAACGAATACTGGTGGTCGACTATGCGTAAAGACATCACAGATTATGTTTCCGCTTGCTGCATATGTAACAGAACCAAACTGTTTCATAGTCTCCCTTGTGGGTTACTGCAACCTATCGACAATAAACCTTGGGCAAGCATTGCCATGGATTTCATAGTTGAATTGCCTATGTCTGAGAGAATGACAGTTATTCTAACAGTAGTGGAAAGATTAACGAAAATGGCACACTTCATTCCGTTACCTAAGTTGCCTTCCTCTCCTTGATTGGCTAAAGTATTTGCTAAAGAGGTATTCCGCATACATGGGATACCCCAAGAAATTATCTCTGACAGAGGTTCTTAATTTGTGTCCAAATTCTGGAGAGAATTTTGTTCACAGAAGGGAATTTCACTTAAATTCTCGTCTGCTTATCATCCGCAAACTAAAGGGGCAGCAGAAAGGTTTAATCAAAGAGTAGAACAATATTTAGGTTGTTTTGTCTCTTCTCACCAAGATGATTGGGTTGGCTTGCTTCCTTGGGCTGAGTTTGCTCTAAATAATGCGATTTCTGATGCGACTCAACAAAGCCCCTTCTTCAACTATGGTTTTTACCCTGTGGTCCTTCCATCGGCATTTCCTTCACGGGGACTGGCAATGGTGGATCAACATGGTGAAAATCTAAAGAAAGTCTGGGGGCAAGTTCAACAACTGCTGGCTCATAAATTGTCTCTTGATAAAAAACATGCAGATAGGCATAGACTTGATACCCCTGTATATTACCCAGGTGATAAGGCCTGGTTGAGTACTAAACATATCTGCCTTAAAGTCCCATCTATGAAATTTGCACCAAGGTTCATTGGTCCATATAATGTGGCTAGACAGGTCAACTGTGGCGTATTGTATTTAATTGCCTCATTCCTTTCACATACCCAATGTCTTACACGTATCCTTATTGAAAGCCTTGACATGTAACAGGTTCAGTAGTCCTCTGGTACCCTGTTCTCCGGTTCAGGCGGAGGACCAGGAGGAATTTGAGGTCAGTGCTATCCTGGACTCATGGATTTCTAGGGGTACTATCCAGTACTTGGTGGACTGGAAGGGATACAGTCCTGAAGACAGGTCCTGGGTGACTGGTTCTGACATTCATGCTCCTCGCTTGGTCCGTTCATTCCACTCTCGGTTTCCTAACCACCCTGGCTCTTCACGCCTGGTGGTCGGTCCTTGAGGAGGGGTTACTGTCAGGTTACCTTGTGTATAAGTCAGGGGCATGTCACAGGCTGGCGTCACAAAAGTGATAAAGCTAAGAATGTCACGGCCCGCCAAGGTGTTCGAACGAGAACATTTTGGGGGCGTGGTTACCTACCTAACTGAACACGGCATTTAAAGAGAAACCAGAGAGAGACTCATTGCCCTGTTGTGGTTCTTGTTTGACCCAGGAGTGCGTATTCCATATTGGTATTCTTGTATTCTGACTTTGGCTTCGTTTGACTATTCCTCCTTCTGTGTTCCTTTGATCTCAGCTAATGCATAATTGTTGGTCCTGATTTCCCCTGACCTCGGCTCGCTATTTGACTATTCTTTGTGCATGTAGTGTTAGTCCAGCCATCGTAAGGTCCATTACATTACTAGTATTTGCATTCTGCGTGTAGGATCCACGAATGTTCCTGACATGTGCTATGACACTTCTCTCTCCTTTGTAGTGACGTGAAATCAAAGAGAAGAAGGATTGGGACACCTAGCATTTGAGCCACATGTTAGTTATTGGCTCTGCGTTTGTGAATGTTATTCTTACTACTATTGGCCAATGTAACATTTGTATAGACAATATTGCACTATTTTTGCATTTTCTCTGCTTTTTACAGATTTATGTTATAATTTCAACTCTAATGCTCCACCTAATGTTTGTATGATTTATTGATCTTTGGATGTGGTTTTGGGGGATTCCACCCAGGGGTTTTAGAGCTTTTACTAGAGCCCCTCAACCATAGAGTTCCTCGAAAAATAAAGAACGGATTGTATATTAACCTATTAGGAAATTTTACACGTTCTGATCAAAACAAAACCTGGATTTTGACTATATGTCTGTTCAACCATAAGTCACCTCTTTCATATGAAGTACATCTACATGTATTATATGTAATTTAATTTCCCATCAAATATTCATGTGTAAAACATAATTTAATATGAATAAAATCTTCCAAAAATGTGAGAAAAGTCATAATACTCTTTGCTTTTACTGCAATAAAATACACATTTGTATTCAGCGATGTCTCACGAGTACAACTGTACCCCCTATGTACAGGTTCGATGGTGTTTTGTAAAGTTACAGGGTCAAATATAGCACGTTCTATTTTTCAGTGCATGCACGTAGAAATTTGCCAGTTTGGTTATTTTGCTTTGAGACCGTATCGTAGCCAATGAATTAGATTTTCCCCTATGATGGCATACCATTTGCAAAAGTAAACAACCAAAGGTATTGCAAATGGGGTATGTCCAGTCTTATTTTGGCCACTGTTTGTGACTATGACCGGACCCTTAAGGACGTTATAGAATCCCTGCCATCCTTAAGAGGTTAAGTGAATGAGTTTTGATGGTTTTAGTAAGCAAATTAAAAAAACAAACAAAGAGGGAGCCATGGTCGTTCAGCCCCCACCACGTGCAATGCAGATTTGGTAGAGGAGTGACCCCAGGACATCCTTACAACAAATAGGAAGGTCAGTGGCTGCTTTGAACACTATAATGACTTATCTACAAGATAAGGAGTTAATACGAGGAATATTGAATGGCTGTTCTGTCTCTACCCACCAAGTCGCCTAATATTTCAAGAGACATGATAATAGTATACTAGCATACAACTCAACTGTCATGAGTTCTGTGACATTTTCTAGATCAGGGGTGTCCGAAAGGTAGAGGCCCAGATGTTGTTGAACTACAACTCCTGTGATGCTTTGCATGCCTTTAGAATGCTTTGGAGTGACAAAGCATCATGGAAGCTGTAGTTTTAAAACATTTGGGGATCTACCTTATGGGCATCTCTAGATCTTGGGCTCTTGTCCGGTGCCTCAGGTTAATTCCCTTCTGTCCAGTTATATTAATAATTACTCTATAGAGGACAATGAATAGCCATATCTTGTGAGACCTCAAGGAAGAGACAACCCCAGCTTCTTTATTGGCAACTCCAAATAATTCAGACTCGGTTTATTGTATAAAGATCCAGGTGACATAGATCACAGTGTACATTAAAAGACATTGTACGAACATTCCTCCCAAAAAGGCCTTCCGGCTTGCTAATTGGTGCACAGTCTCTGCTTCCTTGATCGAGTACTTCTCCATGATCTTTATATGACTATTGAATAGGTCCATGGTTCTGCGGTGCAGGAGTACCTTCTCCTCAACAGTGACCTATTCCTCACTTTAAAACGCAATCTTGCTTGGTCTTTCCTTACTTTTCTTGGGATGCTGGGGTACAGGTTATTCCACCTCTTGCCACCAGTTTCTAATGATACGGCCCTACAGTTTGTTACAGGGACAACAGTTCACTCAACGCTATTGTCTGTACTGTTTATTTTACATTTGCTGCACCCCTGACTGCTCTACTAAATGCTAGGACTCCGTTTTCTGCGTATACCGACAGGATCAGAAGAGGTGTATTTTTATTTTTCCTGGATTCCATCATATCAATCAAACGTCTAGAGATAAAACAGGCTTGTCTTCAAGGGACAAAACCTATTTGAACGGGGTGTGTTATATCCAATATCGGTTTCAATCTATCCGCAATTATTGCAGAAAATAATTTTGTATCCACATTAATTAAAGAAATGGGATTACAGCTCCTGACATCTTCTGAATTTTTCATTAATTTTATTTTTTTAAGCAGTGGTAGTATATTTGCTTTTAATAATTCTTTCAGACTTCTTTCGTTGCTCACCACCTCATTGTAGGAATTTGTTAATGTTCAGCTATCTAATGTTTATATAATTTTTTTTAATCTATTTGTTGGACCATCTGGTCCAGGGGTTTTGCAGCTAACCAATTTGTCTATTGCTTTAAGAATCACTTTTTCTTAAAAGTGCATTACTCTGTCCATTTGAATTTTAGTTATTTTGAGTATGTCTATGTTCTTTAGATACTCTTTTATTTGTTCCTCTTTCGGGTTATTTGACAAATTATATAGCTCTCTGTAATACCTTTGGAAAGCCGTACTTATATATTATAATATATCTGTTTGCTCTTACCATACCAACACCAGAACTAACAGAGAGAGGGCCCTGATTTAAGAATTCATGTGGTCCCCTCTATTGCAAGGGTGGCCAAAAGTTAGATCCTCAACTGTGGTACTACTCCGACAATGATCCGACAGTTGGAGATCTATAATTTGCTTATAGTTGCAGGGTTGTATGTAGCACTGAGCAGTGTTTGTGTGTTTGAATGTTAACAAGTTTCTGTATGGAGTATGTGTGTGTGAATGTAGGGGTGTGTTTGCATGCAGAGTTGGTTTTTGAATGTAAGTGTGTGTTAATATATATCGTTAACATTTGATTGCAGAGGTGTGTTTGTATGTAGTGTTGACGTATAAATGCTAAGATGTATGCACAAACACATACAATGCCACTTTAACCCCTTAAGAACTGAGCCAAATGTACACGTTGTGATCAAAACAAAACGTAAGCAAAAACATGAATTTGCGCTATATGTCTATTCAGGCATAATTCGTCTCTTTCATATTATGCGCACCCACACTTATTATATATAATTTTATTCTGGGGAAACAGGGCTTTCATTTAACATCAAATATTTAGGTATAAAACATAATTTAATATGAATAAAATATAAAAAAAATTAAAAAAAAAAAAATTAAAAAAAAAAATGTTTAGTTCTATGTGACATTCTAACTGTGAAAAATACACATATATGTATTCAGCGATGTCTCACGTGTATAACAGTACCCCCTATGTACATGTTTTATGATGTTTTGGGAAGTTACAGGGTCAAATATAGTATGTTAAATTTTTCAGTTTTTTCACATTGAAATTCGCCAGACTGGTTACGTTGCCTTTGAGACCGTATTGTAGCCCAGGAATGAGAATTACATCCATGATGACATACCATTTGCAAAAGTAGACAATCCAAGGTATTGCAAATGGGGTATTTCCAGTCTTTTTTAGTAGCCACTTGGTCACAAACACTGACCAAAGTCAGTGTTAATATTTGTTTGTGTGAAAAATGCAAAAAACTATTTTGAATGCCAATTTTGGTCAGTGTTTGTGACTAAGTGGCTACTAAGAAAGACTGGACATACCCCACTTGCAATACCTTGGGTTGTCTACTCTTGCAAATGGTATGCCATCATGGGGGTAATTCTCATTCCTGGGATACCATTGATTTTGATATCAATATATATATTTTAATTTTAAAATACAGTTGGAATGAAATTACACATATATATACATATTTTTATTTTATTTTTTAACGTATTTACATTTATATTTATTTTATATTATATAACTATATATAATGATAATTATATATATATTTAATCAATATCATTGTATGTGTATTTTGATATTAATATATATATAATTATATATATATTAATATTAAAATACACTTAGTATATGTGTATGTGTGTATATGTGTATATATATATATACTTAGATCATATATATATAATAAATAGATATATGATCAAAGTATATATTATTTATTTTTACACTGTTTTAATGGTTTTTATTTTATTTTCAGGCAGCAAAGGGAGTACCTGTCATTACAAGCACTCCCCCTGCGTAAATGCCTTGGGCAGCTAAGCCGTCCATGTGATCGCGAGGTCCTCGCAAGGTCCTTGCGATCACATGGCCCAGGGGGGTCGAAGAGGAAGGAGGGGGACTCCCTGGGCTCCCAGGAAAGTCCCAATACCACAATCGCCAGCGTGGGATCGCTGGCGACCGGGTAAGTACATAGGACGGTGAGGACGTGCTAGGCCGCCCCCCAGGCATTTAGAGGCAGGTCCCTAAGGACGGCATAGCACGTCCCCCGTCCTTAAGGGGTTAAACACGCTCTGATACACACTTATATAAGGAAAACAACAATGAATACAAAAAAGTGACTAAATTGGCTAAACTAGAAAATGAGAAAGCAATAGCCAAAGAGTGCAAAACAAACCCCCCAAAGTGTGCATAAGTTCTAAAAAGGGTTTTTAAAAAGTTTTTTTTTGCTTTGCCCTGGTATCCTGAATATTTTAGCTGCATCAATTGTACAGCTTGCTTCTCTTTTCTGTTTACTGCACAAATGATGAGCCCTTACCAATATATCACTGATACATGTAGGCTCAGGAGTTACAGCTAACATGGCTTCCCTTATGTTATTGTCCAGTGCATCTAACAACATTACTCCATGTGTCAACCCTCCAAGTTCAAATCCAGGATTACCCACACTTACATGCTCCATGATTGTTACAATCCTCGCTGACAATTCACATGGAGATTTTTCTAGGCAGAGACCTTACATAAAATATTCTTTGTACTATGATTTTGGTTACCATCTATTAAACAATTGTTATTAAATAAACATAGGTAGTATAGCCTTTCTGCTAACAGTTTAGAATTTCAATCTATATGTGAGTTTTATGAATCAGAAAATGGTGAAAGCGACAAATTTGATATTTTTTGAAGTCATGTCTTTATTTAGGGGCATACAATATTATACACAGTAGAACATTTTGGTAACAATGCATATTGCTATAGATGCAGTTATACAGTTTTGTATATAATTGATAATTAAACAATTAATGTATATATGTGTGTACTTTTTTGGAGAAATAGTTCTTTTGAATGATAAAGATGATTTGAAACGCTGCAATCATTTCTTCACACATTGCTTGTCCTGGGGGCACTGTTGGGTTGGCTTGCACGGTTCTTTAAGGAAAAAAATAAAAGACATTGCTGTTACTACATGGCTAAAACATTTAGGGGCTTATTCACTAAACATTAATTGTAGTGAATTGAAACAAAATTGCAAAAGTAAGGCAAAAATAGCCTATTCGGAAAGATTCTGCACTCAACTGTAGTCTTGGCTATATTGGTTGCATTTTGCAGGTTCTGTTTTAATTCTCAACTATTTGTTGTTTAGCGAAGATGCCAAAATACCAGAGTATTGCAGTATGCAATGATCCCATTTTTATTGGACTAACATAATATTTTAAAGACAAGCTTTCTAGAGTTTTCCTCTCTTTCTCAGATTTTTGTCTACTGGACTAATACGGCTAGTCCAATCTACACTTGATTAGCTAATAAACCACGTTCAAAATGCACAAATGTTATAGACAACCTGGGGTGTTTGACCAATTGAGGGGCAAAGGAAGGACTTGGAACAGCAAGATACACGGACGTTGAGTAATTCACCTCCACAGACAAGTTGTGTAGAATTAAACGGACACTCTAAGTTTCAAAAACTATTTGCAAGTCCTGGATTCAATGGTCCTCTATGAGAAGAATGAGACTGATGTTGCACAGTGACTGGTGAAGTGTTAGAGTGTTAATTTATGTAAAATATTTGTTTGATTACATGATTAAAAGAAATTCCATTCATAGGTACAGCTGAATAGCTTTATCATTTTGTAATGACAGATGTACTCACTACAGACCCTTGTTCTAGGACAGGCATAGGCAACTTTCGGCACTCAAGATGTTTTGGACTACACCTACCATGATGCTTTTCCAGCAATATGGTTGTAAGAGCATTATAGGGGATGGAGTCCACAACATGTGGAGTGCCGAAGGTTACTTATCGCTGTTCTAGGACAATGGTAGACAACCTTCAGAACTCCAGATGTTGTGCACTACATCACCCATAATGCTCTTACAGCCGTAATGCTGGCAAAGCATCAAGGGAGATGTAGTCCACAACATCTGGAGTGCTGAAGGTTGCCTAACCACGGTCTAGGAGTCGCACATTTGGAATCAGTAATCTGCATGTGGTGAGAATCATTCAGTGGAGGCAAGGCAGACAAATTAATTTAAACTCCCATGAGTCCATGTACCTCCTTGCAATGCGTTGGGTACAACTCTGGCACACAAAGTGTTACTATACATGGCACATTTAAAGCGTATATGTTTTAATGGCTGGATTTTGCTTTACCTTGAATAGGTGGGCATTTTTGCACTGGTTCAGGGCACACTGGCTTACAAACTGAAACAAAAGAGAAACAATCTTCAATAAAAAGAGAAGACAAAGTAATTCTTAAAATTAACGAAATCCCGTCTACTTTGCTCTGTCACAATTTGATTTGTTCTTGCTAAATGTACTTATTGTGTGAGCCAAATAAAATATCAGAAGAATAAACATGAAGGTATTTCTGTCTGATTAGAGAAGATGACTCTAACAGTGTCTCCAAGTTGAGGCAGCCTGAATTCTCTGACCAGTATTGTCACCGAGCAATGGCACCAATATGGTCACTCAAAAAATACATTCACCACATCATGCCATTTTCACGTACTGGCTAGCACTGTAATTATGGATTAGTCTTTACCTTGAGGAGGTGGACATTTTTGCACAGGTTCAGGACACACTGGCTTGGAAGCTGAAATAAAACAGTGATTTGTGTTATTCTAGCGTATATTGGAACAATGTCATATTCCATACCTCCCAAGTGTCCCTTTTTAGTAGGGACAGTCCCTATTTTGCCCCAAATCCATCTTTTCTATCCTAATGTTTAGCTTTCCCAGGAGCTCGATATGGTTGGTGTGTCTGAGTGTATAGCAAATCTCCATATTTTAAAGAACATATAGATGCATTCTATTTCCATAAACCTATTCATTTAGCCACATTCCCTCTTTTCACAAAGTAACTTCCTTGTTAGATATATTTTCGTGCAATAGCTCCTGTGAAATTCTACCAATGTGTCGCGACTTTGAAAAAAATATGATTATTAAAGAATCATGGGGCTTACTCCCAGGCAGTAAATTAGCTTGAATTGGAAACTGGCTTTTCAAAAGGGAGATGAAAATAGAAATAAAATATTAAGAAAGAAAATGGGATCATGCCAAGGAAAACTCCCCTATATAGCATCTCTACCACAAAAAAAATATTCTACAGCTAAGCTGCTGCTAAATGGCCCCCTGGGTCTGAATCTCTCTTTATGTTTTTCTTGAGTGCTCGGGTTCTCATAAAATACATAATTATAATTAAGGACTACATTTCCTTATCTATAGAAGTCAACTTGACAAAAGTTGACAATTGGCAGGACTTAAAGCAAGCTTCTGTTTCAATTAGCCAATCAAATTTACAATCCATCAGTAAACTCAATCTCACAGTAGGGCAGCAGGCATCAAGGAGAACAAAATGGCTGCACCCAGATATTGAGATCCACCACAAGGAAGAAAAGTTTATATATATATAAATTATGACAAGTGGCAAGGGAGGGAGTATAAGCATTAAAATACAGGGGGGATAAGGCAAAGAAAACCAGAGGAAAGAAAAATGACAGGGCGCTATAATTGTCTTTTCTCCAAATATGCATTCAATTTATCTGAACGTACAATAAGAGGAGCAACTTACGCTTGTGGCATTGCTGGGGTGGAGGGCATGGCTCTGGGCATGGTTCTTGGCATTTCTTCTGTTGTCCTCCCTTAACTCCAGACATGATTCTCAGGTAGAGATCAGCAAGTTATATGTCAGGAAAATGTGAAGGTAAAATAGTCAATGATGTTGGTCTTTCTAGTTTGGTCCTTTTATACAGAGCATTACGATGTCAATATCTGTTGTGAAACACAGCAATTATAGATAGAGTCACCTCCATTACTCAGAGACCCCAGTATCGTTGAGAAATTCAGCTTGTGTATTTGCATATACCTTTGTCTACCTTAAAATGATGAGTCGATGCTAATAGTTTCTGAAATATTCTTCCTGAATATTTTTTGTGTAGCACATAATTATGGTAAGAATAGATAATAAAATTACAGAGAGAAAACGCCTGTTTAATCATTGTAGTATTTACACACTCCAAAGGTATTTTCTGTTTCGTTCATTTGCTGTCCTTTTATATTCCTATTGTTTTTAGTTAAAAAAAAACAAACTATTCCTAAATTAGTTAAGATTATAAACTGCCAGATCACTGACATAGTTATTCATTAAATATGAATTGTTGACATGAATTCAAAGTGAATTTAAAATTTGAATCCAAACTAACAGATTTATGAAGAATTCTCCATATTTCAGTTCAGATGTTTTGCTCTACAATTTTAAATTTACTTCATATTAACTTAGATTTCCTCACAATTCTCACATTAGTGAACAACTTTGTGAATTTCATGAAATGGTAAGCATCTTTATAATGAAAAAGTAATGTAGAATCCAGGGAAAAATGAAGAACGTATTATATCTTGAACCTTCCAAGTCTTGATGGTTTTAGTAAGCAAATCAAAAACCCCAAACATATAGGGGTATATAAAAGCATAAACAAGGAGGGGGCCATTGTTGTCCACCGCTCACCACATACAATGCAAATGTGGTAGAGGAGTGACCTCAGGACATTCTTATAATGAATAGGAAGGCCAGTGATTGCTTAAAATATCTATATTATCATGACTTATCTACAAGATGTGGAGTTAAAACTCATCTTGTAGATAAGTCATGATAATATTGCACTTGTTTTAGTGGATGTTATTGTATTTGTTGGGTCAGTTAACTTATGCCATATGTACCATGAACAATTGTGTGTCTTGATTGTTTCTTGTAAAACGGATCATCTCTTTTGGGTTACAATACAATTTATACAGACATTTGTATAATCTGGCCAACCTTTTTCGTGTTAAACAAACTCTTTGAACTGTAGAGAATTTTCAATAATTGGCAAGAAGAAATGAGTTATCACATGTCGAAATGACAATAATGAAGTGTTGAATACATGAAAGTTTACTCACTTAGTATTAGTCAGGGTACCTGACAAGCAGGTTTTATAGAGAAGGAAACAATTTGATGCAACATCTCACATGGACAGCAACACAATAGACCTAGACACCTTCACACTCATGTGACTTTTAACCCCTTAAGGACACATGACGGAAATATTCCGTCACGATTCCCTTTTATTTCAGAAGTTGTGTCCTTAAGGGATTAAGAAACGCACACAAAAAAGAGAAAAAACTTGACTATTGCCATAGCTTTAGGTGCATCTCAGAGCTCGACTGATGGCTCATAGAAATATAGAAGACATTAGAATGATATTTTGTCATGCAGAAGAGCTCTGAAATGTTAACATTTAAAGTTCACAATTCTGATGGACATTTTGTAAAGCCCCTCAATCTTTGTTTGCACATTCATATTGTTACGTATGGCAACTGTAGCAGAGTCTTAGTCCTGACCAGGACTCTCCCTCTCCTAGTATCAGCAATTCAGGAACTTAAGAACAAGAAACAGCCAAGTGAATAGCCCACCTTCTCCCTAGTAACTGGACGAGACACAGTTCTGGGAGTACAACTGATTTTATTTTGACCACACACAGCTTTTATGTACTGACCCATAGCATGGGTTAAGGGTTTTCCTCCCAGGTGCCTCTGTTTCTGAAAGATAATTGAGTGAGAAAACTATAACTTAATTATCTTTCAGATACAGGAAAACATACACAATATTACAATTTATAGGAACCCTATGAAAGTCATATCACTGAATAGCTTGGGTCTGAGCACCCACTTTGCTGAAATAGCGCTCAGATCCCTCCTGTGATTCATGAACGCCATTTGAATGACGTTTTGACCTGTCGGCCCTGAGGTGATGCCCCAAAATAGTTCCATAGAAAAAAAGGCAACAACCAGTCATCTTTCGCAGGTTCTCACCCGAACACCGATGAATGGCTGTTAGGGAGCGAATGCTCCCCCTGTTCAGTAGATACTATCTCCTGAACGGCATTCGTCTAGTTGGTCGGGAAGTGGGACAGGCAGCGGTACCATCCTTACCCAGATTCGCAGAGACGCGAGGACGAAAATAGTTACAGGCGTTCGACGACTGGGTACCGCTGTCTGCGTTCGGGGGACAAAATGGACGACATGCACTGGACCACATATGTTCGGTTATCCAAATGGCGGTCACCCAGGAAAAGCACTCAAGTTAATCACTAATTTGTGGTTAACAGCCAGGGGAGGGTATAAAAGGGGGGACCACACACCTTCCATTTGGGGGACAAACAAGGGGGTGCAGACAACTGAACACCAGGGAATGGAGTTAGCTACAACAACTACTCACATTTTTTCAGATTTCCATTCTAAATCAAATTCCAACTATACACATTGTACGGATATACGAGAAGAAACGTGTTTCTTTGGTTCTTAAAATAAAGATGGTTTAAAACAAAAATACAGCTTTCAGCAGTCAGTTATAGAAATATATTCTTCATAAAACAATCCTTCCTTGAATATATCTTTTAATGTGAGGATAAAACAAACCTAAAATATATCATAAAACATAGTAGAATTTGTGAACGCTCTTTAAATAAAATATAAAATAAAAGGGAACCCGAAAACTGTAATAATCCATATTTGGTTTTATTCAGTGACACTATTGTGTTTGCTGTTATAGAATATTACATTTACAAAGTTAAATACTTTTTTTCTTCAACATTCCAATCTTGATTTATAGGTTTAAGCCCTATAATTCTATAATAATGAGATGAATTGCTATATATGAGGCGGGGGGGTGGGGGGGGGAGTTAAAAACTTCAAGGAAGGTATGTCAGATATGTTAAGAAGTTTGTAAGTAATTTCTAGAATCTGAATTTCACAATTCTTTAAGGATCTCTGACTAATGAAGGTTACTAGCTATAATTGCTTTATTTCACAACAGGCATGTGCACGTCATTCCAGTGTATAAAAGGACCCGCTCAGAGAGACCTGCACAGTTGACTATTTTACCTTCACATTTTCCTGACTTGCAATCTACTGATCTCTGTTTAAGAATCATGTCTGGAGTCAAGGGAGGACAACATCAAAAATGCAAAGAACCATGCCCAGAGCCGTGCCCTCCCCCCCAGCAATGCCATGAGCGTAAGTATCACCCAATTCTTGCATTTGTTAGATACATCTCTTTTGATTTTGGCTTATTACACATTAATATTTTAATAGTGCATTTCAATTATTGAATGAGCCTCATTTGTCTGGATTTTTTACTTTCTGTAATATATGGATATATGGAAAGGCAGAGCCTCTAGTTGTGGGAGGGGTTACCCAGCCTATAAATCCAGAGACCACCCCTTCCACCTGTTCAGCCCACCCACCACTCCCTTTATTAATCATTCAAGTAGTGGGCCCTCTTTTACAGGTCTACCGTAACGTCGGTTTCGGCACACCACAACCGACTTGTAACACCACTATACGTGGTGGTACTTGACTCGACTTATTGTCCCCGACTACAACTTATCATTTATACATTATATCATATTATGTTTACTTACCCCATATATTTAATAATGTGTGAAAAGTAAATTAACACAGTTATTCACTAAAGTGAGAATTGAAAGTGAATTTTTAATTTGAGGTAAATATAGCTGTTTTTTGCTAATTCTCTAAATCACCTATGCTCCCAAATCGGCTAATCTGGCCTTGAATTTGAAATTCTCTAAGAATTCACTTTGAATTCTCACTTTAGTTAACAATCCTTTAAATATAGAAACATTTGCATTTATTTAAATCTTAGAACTGAGCATGGCCATCTTAGCATCCTGTCAATCATCCATATAAATGTTGCACTTTTTTTACCACTGAACATAGTGGAACATCTGTTTTTGGATGAGTCCCCATGAAATATGAGTCCCCGTGACACTACCTGAGGGTGTCAACCAGCTAATGTCAAAAGTGACAGCATGAGAGGGATTCCCTATGCCTACAAAGTGTAAAAAAAAAATTCTCTATGCCTACAAAGTGCTGTCTAAATATAATATAAATATTTGGATATTGATTGTGCATATTCAAATTTGTTTTCCATGGAATTTTCCATGGTATTTTTTCCAAGTATTTCTAAACATGCATTGTGTATTACAAAATGCAATGACCAACTATTTGTAGGTATTTTCACAGTATTTTAATATGTTGACTTAATTGTACGATCATTATTATTAGTATATTTTAAATTGAATAAATCCATTAAATGTACAAAATAAACGTATCACTTAAGTTTTTACATTTGTTGCAAATCTTTGCAATTATAAGAAAGAATGACTTCCTATACATATATATTTTAATCTCATAGTGCTCTAATTAATACACGGGTGCCCAAAAGGTAGATCCTCAGATCCCCAGATATTGTAGAACTACAACTACCATGATGCTTTGCATGGTTTTATAATGCCTTTAGAGTGACAAAGCAGCATGGAAGATGTAGTTTTAAAACATGTGGGGCTCTACCTTTTGGGCACCCCTGTTCTAATACATTGAAGAACAAGTGATTAACTTAAATTATGGTTTGTTTTTTCCAGCTTGCAAACCTGTGTGCCCCAAACCAGTGCCCCAAACCCAATGCCCACCTCCTCAAGGTAAAGTATTGTAATTATTATAATTATATTGTAACTAAATATAACCTTATCATATGTATTATTGCAAAAACCATCTACTTTCTGAAGCCCCTTATAGGGGCACTAAAGTCACCCAGGCCATTTCATCTCAATGAAGTGGTGTGGATGCAATGATCCTGTCCTTTTAACCTTACGATGTAAAACATTGCATTTTTTTTTTTTTTAAAGCAATGTTTTCCTACAATAATTGGGGAATAGTGGAGGAGGTCATATCTTTGTATGGGCTGAGGGCTGCGTACATGTAACCGGTGATGTCATAGAGCAAAGGGGAGGGCTTATAGCTGTTACAGAGTAATGTGGAGAGCAATGTGATTTTATCAAAGATTTGATCTCAGTACAGTAATTGTATGACAGACAATTAAAGGAACTCTTTATCTCACGTTTTAGTGTATTTTTAATGTAATATATATCTAATTTGCATGCCTGTTTTGTTTCAGTTTGTAAGCCAGTTTGCCCCGAACCAGTCCAGAAATGCCCCAAACCACAAGGTAGTAAAAACATGCAATCATTTATTTTACAATATATGTTTAATCGAAAATGTATTTATTTGCAATAAAATATAAAACAAATTGTGATATAGACTCGACATAAAGTGCATCCAAGAAATATAGCACATACTGACAGGGTTTTTCACTAACCTGAGAATTGTTGAGAATTTCAGATTTAAGGGCAAAATATTGAAACTAAAAAAAAAAAATTCTACAAGTCATGTATTAAATCACTTAAATTTGAAATTTACTTTCAATTTTCCTGGGAATTCTGATAATTCTCACTTTAGTGATAGAAATACAAGTGAAGTTATTTGCACAGAGAGGGATACAAACTATTAAAGGGACACTCTAGACCCCTGAAGCACTTCAGCTTGCTAAAAAAGCTTTATGAGTGAAGAGTGTGTCCTCTTTTTTTCATTTTGAAAATAGTTCAGATTTCAGTAGAAATGTATACCTTAATCAATTATATTGGTTACACCCCCTGGCCATTCAAGCAGACAAAATATCCTGTTACTATCTGGTTTGGTTAGCTTATTTGTACTGAACTCAAGAGGCGGCAATTGCCCAAAGCACCTGCCTTGCAAAGACTCATTGATCTGCATTGGGGAGTCTGTGATTGGACAGTCACAGAAAGTCTGGGCGGGGTTACAAGAGGAGGGCTTGCAAAGGCCGCAGACAAGAGGTCTGCAGGTTTTGCAAGCTGTTTATATATTAAACTTCAAAAAATGCATATTTAAATACATACAGGTTTTCATTTGTGGTATATCTACTAAACAGTGAGTTTTATTTATTTTGTATTTTGGCAGTGGAGTGTCCCTTTCAGGTCAAAATAGCTCCCCAAGTCAGCTATATTTCCAGTTTAGCTATTTTGGTTTAAAATATTATTCATTTATTGTTGAATTAGCTTTAAATGCCCTACAATTCTCACTTTAGTAAATAATCCTGTTGCTGTAACCAATATCAGTGATTCCCATATGAAATGGGACATAAAAGGTTTGCTTTTTCTGTAAATATACTTATACTATGTGGTTTAGTCCAATACAGAAGTTTGCCAACAATTCATAGAAACATATACAACAATAGGACAAATAATGTGCTCTGTTTTTTTTTTATTTTTTAGTATATATATATTTATCAATACACAGTATTTATCTATGTAATGTATTTGTCTATATCTTTCACTATAAAGTGTTTGTTAAGGTTATTTAGGATATGGAGGTCAATACATACATTGTTACCTCTTTTAAAGAAAGACTATAGGAATACAAACCTGTATTTGTAACGCTATAGTATGACGCTATAGTGTCCCTCTATGGCCCCCCACCTATTGATTAAAATCATGAAGACATCCAACGTTCTTTGACAGACTTATACTCTGTAAGAATGCAGGAAGTCCCTCTAATGGCTGTAGAGGCTGCGTTATCCCTGCAGTGTAAACATTGCAGTTTCTCCAAAACTATTTTACGTTGCAGGCTAAGGAGACAGGGACGCTGCACCCAGACCACTTCAATGAGATGTAGTGATCTGGGTGCCTATAGTGTCTCTTTAATGGGCATTGTTATATGGGTGGTCACCAATCAAATGATTCTTTCAGTATATTATTCGAGATTACTCCCAGCACCATAACTACTTCAGTCATTTGAAGTGGTCATGGTGCCTCGAGTCTGTATGTGCAAATAAAAAGTTCAATCCCTTTGCTGACGGAGTCGCATAATTGTGATATCATTAGCCAGATAGTTCAGCATGGCTACTGTCAATATTTGATGTCTGATGTCAGCATGCTGGTGACAGGTGGCTATCACTGCTCCTCCGTGTGGCTCAGACCTCTCCTCAGTCCCTCCCTTATTTACTTCCCCCCAGCAAGGGGAAGTGACATAAATGGAGAAGGATAGTGTTAAGGGGAGAACTTTGCCTCGGTACAAACGAATGGAAGTAGGTTTTAGCTTTAGTTGGTAAAAAATTTGATTTTTATGTAAATGTACAAAGTAAAATATTTATGTTTTTCTTTTCCATATTTCTTTCTTAAAGAACCATGCAAGCCAACCCCACAGTGCCCACAAGAACAGCACTGCGTGAAGAAGTGATGACTAAGCGTTCTAAACCCTCTTTCAGATCTAATGGAACTTCTCAATAAAATATTGGATTAGCCAATTAATTAGTTATGGAAATTTGAAAACTCATGTCATTATAAACACATTACATCTGTTTATCGTAAATTATCCATTAAATGGCATTTGTGACAATGCGTAATGAGACACGCATCTAATTATAAATAAAATGATGTCACTTGAAAATACATTTATGGTTCATTGTTTTAATTATAGGATCAGAAGGAGGTGGGGGCTATAGTGTAACCGCTAGTACCCATATTTACCACTATAACACCTTAAAGCATAGAATTCAGCAAAGATATCTTTAGCAAAAAATATTATATAATTGGTAAGAGCTTCACTATTTAAATTATAAAAATAATTGAGAATACAAAAAACAGGGAATTGGAAGCAATAACCTTTTGTCTTTTTAAAAATATATATTTTATTAAATATAAATTAATATATTTAAATGAATATAGACATATAAAAATGTAGTAATACATTAATAAAACAGAGTATATAGAATTAAATGAATATATGCTTCCTGATTGTACAGGTAATCTTTTAGTATATGTCACCTCCCGAGTTGGTCCGGAAGTCTCTGTCCAGCATTGGTCATTAATTATAGTAAAGCATTTATAATTACTATTGGTCATTTATGTATTAATTATACAGCTTAAAAAAGCAGTTCATATGTGAAAATGAAAGGAAAAAAACTCTTATCAGTCTGTTGTCATAACCTAGACATCTATAATCTTTATTTGGACTAAAAGTAAGGTTGACGTAGGCAAGGCCTTAACTTGTTGTCACATTCATCTAGGACAGGGGTAGGCAACCTACGGCACTAGTGCCATGCACGGCACTCGAGGTGTCTTTCCACGGCACTCAAGGCGGCTAGAGCCAAACAGGCTCTGGCCTATCAGGAGTCTCAGTGAAACTTCAGATATCTGCTAATACGAAGAGGTAGTGAAGGACAATCCTCAATTTATGCATTGCAGAGCGTAGAGGAAGTGATCTCAGATCAGTTCCTCCCAGCACTTGTGAATGGGAATCCACACTGTAGTAGAGAAGCCTGCAGCTGCTGTTGCAGTTCCTGTCCTTGATCTGTACCTTGCCAGCCTGGTCCCCACTGGAACCCAGGGAAGCCACCCACACTGCTAGATATACACAGACCTACAGAATAAGCCTGCCCTCATACAAATAACACGAACAGCCCACACACAAACATACACACAATCCCCACAAATGCAACACCACTAACAACCCACATACATGCACACAATCCCACATGCAGCCTCTCACAAGCAATACCCCAAACAGCCCCCACACACTACCAAACACACAATGTGACATATCCATCCACACACAATTCCACAAGCAGCCCTCATACACAGCCCACATTCATATGTATCATACACAATACCATAAACTACTAATGAACATATACAATATAATAGCTTATATACGCACAAATACGATATAAAGCAATTACAGTAAAAAATAACAAGCAGAATATGGCGGCATATACACCTCAGTTTAAAAAAATAGGACCGGCACGCTACGGGACATCACAATCCTATATCGGCACAGTGCTGCTAAAAGGTTGCCTACCCCTGATCTAGGACAAGATGGCATTTTAAAATTTAGACGTAGTGTGCACTAAAAGTGATTACCCCCACTTGTCTCATGCTAAATAAAGAAATGGGTGTGGAAAACAGTGACCGTTACGTGCCAAAGTGGACAACCTAACAGATATCCACATGAAAAATAAGATTACATTTGAAGAAATTAAATCACAAATGCAGATGCAACATTGAATCAGCATGTGTTTATTATAATAAGAGCTTATTAAGATGCTTTTTGGGCAACATGAGTGAACTAATCTGACATTGACAAACTAACTTGGAAAAAGATGGACTTTGCTCATAACTCAAAGCTCACCAAAAGCGATAGAATAAAACGATGAAGGATTTAGACAAATTCGAAAAAAAATTTGCCTCAAAAAGGGTACACAGAACTGAATGAACACCTCTGTGACAAAATGGCCACAACATAGAAACATAGAAACATATTATATTTCTACTCAAAAAGTTATAATGCATAATATATACCCAGGACTAATGAAATTATTGTGATTGATGGAGGGTTCTGTCTTTATACACTATCATGTGAAGCACCAAGTGCAAGCACTTTGCGTCAGTAAAAGAAAGGAATTTGTTCTTCGTTAAGTGATTTGTAGATGTATTCAATGTCTATTAGAATAACCTGTCACATAACTACGCCAACTTTCTCTTATATCACTTTAAACCTCCTTTCCTGCTCGCATCAAATACAGTTATCCAACTTAAGCTTCCTGAATGCTCCTTCATAAGCGTTCAATAGTTATCGTACAAAAATTAAGTTGACTTAAGTTGGTCTTTTTAATGTCCTTTATAAATAATGTAAAAGAAGTACAGCACTCCTTTTGACTTCAGAAGTCTTTCTCGTACATCTTGCCCCTAAACACATCAATAATGCAAATAGGAGCACGCCAAATTGTAAAACAGCAACTTCATTATCTGCAATTGTTAGAAAACCCCACACAAAAATGTCAAAATGCTAAAAAAATAGACACATGACAAGATGATTGATAGCATATACATTAGAATAAACCAAAGAAAACGTTACCTGTGCTCTCTCCTAAATCCTTGTACAAAAAATGTACACCGAACTGAATGAGCACCTCTGTAACAAAATGGCCACAATCTATTATATTTCTTATCCTTAGCTGTGTGATACAAAAAGTGAATACAAATACAAAAAGAGAAGTCCTGCGCTCACTCCCATCACTCCTGGGTGGCAGCAACGACCACAGTACACATCTGCCCCAACATATAGTAAAAGCCAAAGAAAAAGTTACCTGCGCTCTCTCCTAAATCCCTATGTTTATTTAAACAAATGGAGGTAATTTAGTTACCCTCAATGGCCATTGGAGGGAATGCCCGTCTGCCAACATTAAGGCAGCCCCCCTAGGCGGGTCCTACACTGACCTTTCACCTTGCTTCCTTGAGCTTCTGGCAAAGATATCTCTAATGAAACAGAGAGGGGTATTTGTTTTATATACACCCCTATATACTTATTAACCCTTAATGTGTTCCCTATTACGGGTTAATAAGTACATAGGGGTGTATACAAAAAAAATCCCCCGCACACAAACAGACAAACTGCATCTCCAGTCCATACACATACATAGACACAGACACACTGCATTCCCAGCACACACAAAGATTCCCCCTGGAACAATAAGGAAGGGGGAACATGACTGCTGCCCAAGATGGTGGGCAGGATCAGGGAAGATACAATGTTGCTAATGTTGGGGTTCTTAAAGAAGGGGAGAGGGAGGGGACTTATTAGTCGGCAGGATCAGTTGAGGGCTCCTGACTGTTTTCCCACCCTCCCTCCCTGTTTCTGGTGTTGTGGCTTGTGTTTTTGTGTTGTCACAGCTTGGCAGTTTCCCTGGACAGCGCAGAGGAAGAAAGGAACATTGGGGAGACGACAGCCGGCACGGAGCTGATGGCGAGGAGCTGGCTGTTGAGTCTCATGGCACCGAATGTGTGTGAGAACTGTCTGTTGGGCAAACACCCAACAGCTGGCAGATTTGGACTGAGTTAAATTGTTAATTTAAATAAAGCTGTGGCCGTTGCCCTTATCCACAAGAATGAGGTATCACGTGTATTCTTGGGGGCAACGGGTTGTTGGTTGGGATTGGTTGGGTCAGCAGTCAAGAGATACACTGCATCCACAGCACAAACACAGACTACATCCCCTGCTCACTGTGAGGGGGGGGAGGAGGAGGGTGTTTGGTTGTAGAGGGGATGGCGATTCGGTGGGAGAGTTTGTGGGGGGGGGCAGCATTTCATCCTTGGACTCAGGCAGCCCAATGTCTTGTGCCGGCCCTGCAGCCTAATGTGGTGTTTGAAACCAAAGGCAAAAACAAGGTTGCCAAGAAAGGAAGCATAGATTGGAAGCTAAATGTGCCAAGGACAGAATTTTGGGGAACAACAACTGAAACAGCAAGTGGGAAGGAGATTGCGATAACTATCTTCTGCCAATCATTATCCCTTCTACTCTGTTTATTTTCATTTTTTGTTTAAATAAATTTAACGTGCCCTTAATGATTTATACTCGAATCCGTAATTATATCATGGCTTGCATTTTGATGACTGTATTGTTTCCACCAGGTTTTAAATAAAGTTAAATGAATATATTGTTGTGAGATGTTTTGTTTGCAATTAAGAGAACACGTAGGGCAGTAATTGTTTCTACCTTAAGGGCTCGGCCCAAATCCTTCTTAGCGTCAGTTTCTCCACGTGTAGAACAAACTATTAGTTAATGATTTATTGTGAAACCTAACTCCAGGTTACATTGAAATAGGATAAAATATAACCGAAATATTTCAGAATGTTCATTTTGTTAAGTTAATATTCAACAGGCAGTTAGTTACCATAATAGCAATATAATTATAATTAAACTCTATAAATATATTTATGTAGAGTCAAAAAAAAAATTTTCTTTCTTCTTTTTTTCCTTCACATGTCTGTGCTGGGAATTTAACCCCTTAAGGACACATGATGGAAATATTCCGTCATGATTCCATGTTATTCCAGAAGTTGTGTCCTTAAGGGGTTAATCATGATATGTTTGTTATGGGTGGTAAATAAAATGAGGCTGGGCAAAGTATTTCAAACAAAGATTAACCCAATGGGGATTGTAAAATAATAGGGGTACATTAAAATGAATAATGGGGGATGGGCAGATCAATGTCCACCACCATGCTCCACCTGTGGTCACACATTATTTTCATTGATTTATTTTTTACATTTTAAATGTGGTGGCCAGCTAGAAAGCTCTTGCCAGCCACCACATAATTATCCTGTGTGCCGCTGAGGGTTATTTAACTATTTGCCCACTATCTGCTAGAGGACAAAAAGTATTAATAATTATTGTTCACTTTCATAAAAAGCAAATGATGCATTTGGTTCAGAATTTTAGTTAAATCGGTACTCTGTGCGTCATCAGAATCCTATACATTTATTGGGTTCAGATTCTAACGCACTGGTTTTAATCCAAACACCGAATGAATCTAGGCAACAGCTGCAGATTCACTTGAGCTTATCAGATTACACCTGCATTTGGATTTATTAAATATGTAGTAGAAATGTGGTCATTTTCCTTGGATTTTGTCCACTCCACACTGAAAATCATTTAAAAAAAATTATGATTTTAAAAATCCCTGTTTAGTAGGTATACCCCTAATGAATACACACATGCATCTATTTATGCGTGTACTCATTGGGGCTATATTTAAAGAGAATTTACAAAAGATGCCGCTCTTATGGTTGCAGCATTTGTGAGCCCTTCCCTTCTTCCCTGGAAGAGACTTTCACTCTCTTCACGGGGAAATAAGCAATCTCATTGATTAAGCCTCCGAATCATCTGTATGCACATCTGCTCTCTCTAGAGTGTGCACACAGCTTGTCAATTCATGCTGACTTTTCTCTTAGCTGAGGCACAATCCCTAAGGCTCTCAACCTGCCAGGGGTAAGAAGACTTCAGGAGATGCAATAGCCCACAAAAGGCGGCTGGGGACATGTGCATAGTGACGTGCACACACTGGTGTGAGTTGTGCACAGCAGGGATTATAGGGACTACAATTCAGGACTACTAGTAGAGAGTGCCTCAATGGAGCTAAGAAAAGGAAAAAGTTAACCCACCCAACTAGGGAGACATTTTAAATTCTACTGAGAAAAGTGCAGATTTCTCAAAGAAATCAGCACTTTTACAGATTGGACTTGAAATTGAGAATTCAGCCAGCTGGAGTGCTTTGTGTGTGTGGAGTGACCCTTTAAGAGCTTTCAACATTTTGCTTTACACGTAACACAAAAATATCCACATTACAAAGTTCGGATTTACATACATCAATTTTATTCTGTGTAGTTTGTTTAGATCCTTCTAACTGCAGAAACGTTTTCCATTATAGGACATTTTTCATTTAAGCACCATTGAAACGGCATTTGGAAAATTCTAATCACCTATGAGAACCGTAACAGGGTGTTTTCAATCTGAGTGTTGCCTTGGGCTGGAGGTGTGAATCTATACAAATAATGATAATTGGGGATTACATTAATCCATTAATTTAAATCTAATAATTTAATAGTAGTAACACTTTATTATTATTATTATTATTATTATTATATTTTCTTTTTACCTTTTCATTGCTGATCACTTTCATACTTGGGATATAGTTACAATTTACCTTATTGATGACATAGACAGAGCATGTGATGGTCCAATAATGGCTCGTATTTTTTTAATTTCTTTTTCATAAACAGCTCTGGGGGGTTTTCCTCAGCTATTTCTGCCGTATCATTCCATTTACTTCTGTTCAAGTTATTTTTAATTCAACATTTTTTCTAGTATTCACACTTCTTTGAATAAACCATATATGTGTGGTAAAACGTTTTCGTTCTTTTTGGTGGATTAGTATTTGAACATCAACGTATACGCTAACCATGAGTTGAGAACAAAATAAATGTTTGAAAGACAGAAATGAAGATCATGTTTGTGTATAGAAACACCGACCTTCAGTCCTGGAGACACAGTCTTAACTATCATGCATTATCAACTAAAAGATCTGAAGTCATAATTACATATATTGGTAAATCTCAATCTATAGCCTGGTCTTACCCATTGACTAGCACAGAGCCAAAAAAAATTACCACAAGACAGAACTTCACGTTTCAGATATGCATTTTAATTCAATGTTGATTGGCTCATACAGCAAATGGTGAACTGCACTGTCACCAGACGAAACTGGGTACCACTAGGTAATCATAAAAAGGACAATGGAATGTTTGTTTTTCAGATGTCGCGCTAGATATAATTTATTAAGCAAAGAAGCAGACAGCAGTTTCATCCCAGGATTCCATCATATTAACACTTCTTCACGCACTTCACGTCCTGATGACAGTGCTGGGGAGCCGGTTTGCAGGGATCTGGAAGGAGAGAACAGAGATTGTATGAGTGAGAGATATAAAATTAGACTGCCAATTTATTTGTACATTAACCATTTTAAACATGAATATACTCTAATTGCAACCTTGAAATATTAGAAAATTCTGTAAGGACCAAATATAACAGTTTGTAGTTATATTTAGGTCTGTACCAACTGCATGTCATGAATTATTGAAACGTTCCTATTCTATGGTAGCACCATGCTTCCCATGAGGGGGTTATTCTATTTTGGAATAATACCTTTAAAGAACAGGCTATTATGACCACACAGACTGTTATTATTAAAGGAGCACTCCACGCACCTAAAGTACTTTTTTTTATTATACAATACAATGTGCGCAGATTTCAACAGAAATTGTCACTTTTATAAATGAATCTTGTTGCACCGCCCACAGCTCTGTAAATTCCTGGTTTGTTTAGTTCAATGAAGCTAAACTCAGGATGCAGTATTTGCTCAGAGCACCTGCCTTGCAAATTCTTCTCATTGAGTTGCATTGGGAAGCCTGTGATTGGACAGCCACAGAAAGTCTGAGTGGGGGAGAAGGGGAGGGCTTGCAAAGGCTTATGTGTAAGAGATCTGTAGCTGTTGCAAACTGTTTTTAGATATGCTACCTATAATTAAATAGGTGTATTTTTTTCATCAGTGGAATATCTACTAGACAGTGATTTATTTGTTGTACTTGGGCAGTGGAGTGTACTTTTAATGGATTAGAGAGGTCTTCTTATTGTATTGTTTTATGCATTAACATAATAACAAAATAAGATTTAATTTATTTTATGTGTTAGTTAATGTTAGCGGACTGAGCTCATGACAGCAGAAGCTAATAACAATTCATATATGTATGTCCTGATACTGCCCGATATTTCTCCCGGTGCAGTCTCAGTCACATAGTGCAGTAATGATTTACTACATAGAGTGACAACCCCCAACAAACAGAATGTGATTTATTAACATGATCAGTAATAAGAAGACTATTCCTTTGTGGGTCCATTATCTATATATTTTTTTTGTTTCTACGCTATAACTAAATATTAGTCAGTGGAGAGATAATAGGTTGTGCCGTTTTTACCTTGGCATTGAGGAACTGGCTTGGGGCATGGGTCGCAAGCTGCAAAAGAAGAAGGAAAAATTATTAATGATTTTTTTCAAATTTGTGTACTATCAACTTAATTAGAATAAAATCCTGCTTAATCCCATGCAATCTATTTACGTTTTCAATACATTGAAATTGCTATGTACCTGAAATACATTTCACAATATAAACCTTACAATTATTTTGTTTAATTTTTTTTTTTTTTTAAATACATTTTTTGGGCATTAACTAGTATAAAATCCAGATTATTCATAGATACTGATGGCCCAATGTTCAAAGCAGTAATCTGTAAAAAGCTTTCATTAAAATACTGCATTACCACAGCTGTAATAGTAACACTTTTTAATAAGGTAATATGAAATGATTTTCTCCCACTCCCTTTCAGATATTTCTTATATCCCACTTATTTAAATTGTGCCAATGCTATTCAATAAACAGAGACAAGACAACAAAATAAAACATTTTTGTTCCTTCCATGCCCTGCACTGTATAGACTTCAAACTTTCCTATTTTTCTTACTGACAGTGTTTTGTGTATATGTCAATGAAATATGTTTCCTTGTATCTGTTTTTACTAAAATAACAGAAGCCCCTGCTCACCATTAAAATAGCACATATCTCCAACCTTCATTAGTCAAGAATCATTACTAAATTGATCACAAAACTCAGCATTGTGTCGTAAAATAGGAATTCTGAGAAAAATTCCCTTTAACCCCTTAAGGACTGGACTGTTTTTGCGATGTTGTACATTTGCGACCAGGCATATTTTTACACTTTTGTGGTGTTTGTGTTTGGCTGTAATTTTCCGCTTTCTCATTTACTGTTCCCATACAAATTATATATTGTTTTTTTCAGGACAAAAGGGGCTTTCTTTACATACCATTATTTATATAATCTCATGTATTTTAATTTAAAAAAAATAAAAAAATCTGATGAAAAATTGAAAAAAATACATGTTTTTTGACTTTTACTTGAAAAATCTTTTACTCATCTACAAAAGCGAATGAAAAAAACTGCTAAATAGATTCAAAATTTTGTCCTGAGTTTAAAAATACCCAGTGTTTACGTGCTTTTTGCTTTTTTTTGCATGTTATAGGGCTATAGGTACAAGTAGGATATTGCGGTTTCAAAACATACATTTTTAAATTTATCAATAGTGACATTGTAACACTATTATCTGTCATAAATCTCTGAATAACACCCCACATGTACATATTTTTTTTAAAGTAGACAACCCAGGGTATTCAATATGGGGTATGTCCAGTCTTTTTTATTAGCCACTTAGTCGAAAACACTGGCCAAAGTAAGCATTCATATTTGTTTGTGTGTGAAAAAAGTAAAAAAACTAAATTGAACGCTAATTTTGGCCAGTGTTTGTGACCAAGTGGTTACTAAAAAAGACTGGACATACCCCATTTGCAATACCTTGGGTTGTCTTCTTTTGCAAATGGTATGCCATCATAGGGGTAATTCTCATTCCTGGGCTACCATACGCTCTCAAAGGCAACGTAACCAACCTGGCCATTTTCAATGTAAAAATATTTGACCCATATATTTGACTTTGTAACTTTCAAAAATGCTATAAAACCTGTACATGGGGGGTACTGTTTTACTCGGGAGACATCGCTGAACACAAATATTAGTGTTTAAAACTGGAAAACGTATCGCAACAATTATATCATCAGTAAAAGTGCTGTTTGTGTGTGAAAAATGCAAAAAAAGTAACTTTCACTGACAATATCATCACTGTGATATGTTTTACTGTTTTGAATCACTAATATTTGTGTTCAGCGAAGTAAAAACAGTACCCCCCATGTACAGGTTTTAGGGTGTCATAGAACGTTACAGGGTAAAATACAGTGCTAGCAAATTAAATTCTCTGGAATTTCGGCCTGGGTTGGCAGGCAGGTCCCTCAAATTGCAATCAATAAAATTACTGAATTATGTAAAAATATTACATAAATACGTAGAATTTAAATATATATGCATATTTATATATTTGAAGTCTACGTGTATATTTTATAATTATTTATGTAATTTTGTATATGGACGTATGTATATTTCTTATTATTTTTATTTATTTTTATATACATAGATATATATACAAATTCATTCTAAGTGTATTTTGATATAAATATATATATATTAATTTAAAAATACAGTTAGAATAAAATTTCATATAGCTATATAATTTTTTTTTAATTTTTTATTATTATTTTTAAAAAAAATTATTTAATTTAAATTACTTATTATTTATATTTTATAATAATATATATATACAATATATATAGTTATTATATATATTATATATATACGTGTGTAATTTAATTATAAGTGTATTTTATATTAATATAAGTACATATTAATATAAAAATACACTTAGTATGACATTATATATATATATATATGATATATAGACATATATTATATAGATATAATATATGTCTATATATCATATATACACATATATAATTATTATTATTTTTTTATTAACACTAACTTTATTTTTTTAATTGATTTTACACTAGCAGGGAGACTGCCTGTCAGCACAGGCAGTCCCCCTGCAGGCAGACACATGGACACCTATTGTGACCATGTGATCGCTGTGTTAAGCGATCACATGGCCACAGGGGTCCTAATCTGCCATGGGGAGACTGTCTGGGCTGCAGGCAGTCTCCCCACAACCGGAGCCACGCTGATTGCCGCCGGGGGAACGACGGCGATCAGGTAAGTAGCTCTGACCGTTAGGACGGTTCAGGACCGTCATCGGTCGGCAACGCAAAAATGCCGATGACGGTCCTGAACCGTCCTCGGTCCTTAAGGGGTTAATACCAGATGTGCCTAAAAGATCAGGTCCTTGGCCTTTAAAACAACACTTTGACACTCTGTTAGAAAAAATGGCATTTAAACCGGAGACATGGCAAAAATCAAACGGGAAATAAATCTGCTTAGATGATCATATCGTTGATATTTGTAAGTGTGTTTTAGAGATAAAAAAGCAAAGTATTTATCATGATAATTCTAAAATAAAACATACACGAACATGATTTAAGTGTTGATATAACATAGATGGTTTTTTACTTACGATCCTGACATTGCTTTGCTGGTGGGCATCGTGGTGGGCAAGGATCTTGGCATGGATCTGGGCATTTCTTCTGTCCCTTGACTCCAGACATGATTATTTTTGGTTGAGTTTTACAGACTGTGCCGTAAGTTTGAAGGGAAGAAGAAGATTTTCAGTTGTGTTGAATATGTGCTAACTTACTGTATTTATACAGGATAGATCAGGTAAGTCACACAGGAATTCATATTTGCATCTAATAAATTTTTTACAGTGAAACTGAATACAGGTTTATCTTGTTGAAGCATTTCAAACATACATCCCTTACACCTCTTTTAATTAAACTGTTTATGGTTAAAGTGTGTAATTTCATTGCATTTTTATATCATTACATATTTTTGTATTATCTGTATATTTAAGATTTGCATATTAGAATTTTTTAGCAATTGTTTTATTTATTTATTTATTACTGGTATTTATAAAGCGCCAACAGATTCCGCAGCGCTGTACAATTAAGGGAGACCGTACAATATACACAGACAAATACAAGAGGTAGAGAGAGCCCTGCCCGTAAGCTGATAACTAGCCATTGGAGCTCTTTTATACAAAGTGAGCTTGATTAAGCACACATATTAATTTATCTGTTTCCGCGTGCATTCATGGAGCACTGTCTTGTAGTGAAAATCAAACTAATTTGCAAAATTTAGAAGCAAAGGGGCTGACTTCAAAATATCTCCAATCTGGTTATAGTCCCAGTGTTGTTATTCTATCAAATATTGAGTGTCCCCCTGGACAAATAAGGAAAGGGGAGCATGACTGCTGCCCAGGATAGTGGGATGGTACAATGGTAGCAACAATGTTGCAAAGATGGAAGGATTCATAAAGGGGAAGCAAGGGAGGAGACTTACCAGTCAGAAGGAGATAGTCAGTCACCCTGGTTTAATTTTTATCGCTGACTGTACTTTTCTTCTGGAGTTGCTTTTCTCGTGTCTGTTGGGGAATACCTGGGCCTGCAAAAACAAAAATCAATAGATCTTGACTAAGTGAGGAACAAGCTTCAATATGGCCACCCCATCGCTGGAGGAATTAGTAAAAATGATGGCAGCTTACCAGGAGTCCCATGGCTCCTTGGAACAGGTGCTGTCTCAAGTGCGGCAGGCTGCAGGAGGACGTCTGGATCGGCCTGAGGGAGCTGAGGTGTCGTTAAGCGGGCGGAGGGCCAGGAGGTCGAGGCCTCCGTCGCGTTTGTCTCCAAGTCCTGTGCGGAGGAGCGGCGGGAGGAGTGCCCAGCGGTCCGAGGAGGGGAGCGGCGATGCCGGGCGATTGCCGGCGCGCAGTGTGACCAGCCGGAGGCAGAGGAGGGCCGGACAGGTACTTGCTGCGTCCGGGCCCCAAGATGGCGGAGATCATGATGGCGGGAACCCGGCCGGAAGGTCGCGCAGCCCGCGCCCTTCTCTTCCGGCGCGGGTAAGGGAGTCGTCATCACGCACGCAATCCTGCGTGCGTGCAACGTCGGACGTGCTGACGCGAGGAATGCTGCGGCGCGCATGCGCGCGGACGTCACGGGCCGGAGCCGGAAGATCACCTGCGGTGCGTGAGCACCCCGAAGATTCGCAACAAGGACCGCAGGGGTACGCTGCCGGTGCCTGCGGGTCCCAGGAACGGGAGGAAGATGGACTCCAATCCGGTCTGCACTCCGGATCTGAAGAAGAGGATGCCGTGTTCCCCAGTGGGTCCGGTCTGCCTCGTGCAGCATCAGCGCGTGAGTATTGCGCTTGCGCCTGGGACGCGCTGGCTGAGGGTGATAGGGGGTTGGGTTCCCAAGACAGGAGGGAGCTGGACAGACAGGATTTAGGTAGGCAGCAAGATGTGGAGAGTCAAGGGGATTTAGTTAACTTATTGAGGTCAGTATTGGAGAGGTTGCCTGTTGCTGTCCCCTCTTCTGCTCCGCTAAGTCTGCGGGGGGCTGCGTCGCAGCTGCCAGGCAGGGACAAGGGGTTGGGTATTATGCGCCCACGGTTGCCGGGCTGTGAGCTGTCCCCACTGGGTCTGCATGTGGCAGCAGACGTCAGGGAGAAAATAGTTCGGAGTGAGTATGTCGACTTCCTGTCGTTGGTTCCTCCGGATAGGGAATCGGTGGATAGACCGCGGCGAGGTGACCTGGGTGACAGTGAGAGAGGTAAGCAACTTCCCTGCACTTTTGGGAATTAGCTCCAAGGTTTTTCAGTTTTCGCAAGTATCTTCACTGGTAGTTTTCCGGACAAGGCTCCCTCCTTGTTCGGTTATTTGGATCTCATTTGGGGGGCGTACAAGATTTATGGGGGGGCAATGCTGGTACCGGTATGACCAGCAATTTCGGCAGAAGATGGCGGTCAGCGAGGGCATGGATTTTGGGGTGCAGGATGGCAGCTTATGGCTGCTGTTGATGACGCCCTGCCAGCCATCCCCCTTTCCAGGGACTGCCGGCGCGCAGGCTAGTGCGCCGGCAGGACAGCGTAGGGGAGTCTGTTGGCTCTTTAATGAAAGCCACTGTAAGTGGTACAATTCATGCAGGTTCCGGCATGAGTGTTCGCACTGTGGCGGAGCACACCCCGCTGTGCGCTGTTTTAAAAAGGGGAAGTCAGGGGTGCGCCCCAAGGACGACGTTCCTAGACAGGAGGACGCCGGTGAGCGTCGAAAAGATGCGCCCGTGGCTCGACCGTTATCCTAAACGGCAGGACGCGGGTATTTTATTGGACGGGTTTTTATTTGGGTTTTGGATTCCGTTTGTTTTGTCTGAGGCACCGTCGTTTGCGGGCAATTTGCGTTCGGTTTCGGGAAAAGAAGATATTTTGGGACAGAAGTTGGGAAAAGAGGTGTCCTTGGGCCGCATGGCAGGACCGTTTTCTGAGCCCCCGTTTGTTAACCTGCGAGTGTCGCCCCTGGGCTTGGTCCCTAAAAAGGAGCCTGGCGTCTTTCGTCTCATTCATCACCTGTCCTATCCAGCTGGCGGATCAGTGAATGACGATATTGACAAAGAGGTGTCCAGGGTGCGCTAGGCTTCATTTGACAGGGCTCTGGAGTTAGTGAGAGATGCAGGGTCCGGGGCGTTGCTCGCCAAATCGGACATTGAGTCGGCTTTTCGTTTGCTTCCGGTTCACCCTGACTGTTTCCACCTCCTGGGTTGTCAATTTAATGGTTTGTTCTTTTATGACATGTGCTTGCCCATGGGGTGTGCTATTTCCTGCGCCTACTTCGAGATGTTTGCGACATTCTTGGAATGGGTGGTGTCACAGGTGTCGGGTTTGTCCACGTTGACCCACTACCTGGATGATTTTTTGTTTGTCGGGTCGGGAGCTTCCGACGACTGTGCGGTGTTGTTAAGGGCTTTTCGGCAGATTACGTCAGAGTTTGGTGTACCGGTGGCGGCAAGCAAGACGTTCGGGCCGGTGAATAAGTTGGCTTATTTGGGGATCGAGATTGACTCTTGTGAGATGGTCTTTCGATTACCAGAGGAGAAGCTGGGGCAGTTACTCTGCCTTGTTGACCGGGTTAAGGGCTCCAAAAAAGTACAGTTGCAGCTGATGCAATCGCTTTTGGGGCACCTGAACTTTGCTTGTCGTGTTCTGTCCATGGGCCGTGCGTTCTGTCGACGCTTGTCCTTGGCTACGGTGGGGGTTGTACAGCCGTTTCATTTTATTCGGATTACAAGTAGGCTGCGGTCGGAGTTGCAGGTGTGGAGCGCTTTTTTGGGTACGTATAATGGTCATTCTTGTTGGTTGCGTTCGGAGGTGTCTAACGAGGAGTTGGACTTGTTTACTGATGCATCGGGGTCCATAGGTTTTGGGGCTTATTTTCGGGGGCAGTGGTGTGCGGCGGAGTGGCCGGCCAAATGGCGGGGTTCGGAGTTCATGGGTAATCTGGCGTTTCTAGAGTTGTTCCCAATTGTGGTTGCGGTCGACTTGTGGGGTGCGGGCTTAGCGCACAGGAAGGTGATTGTTTACACGGACAACATGAGTGTGGTTCAGGTAATCAATCGTTCCACGTCTGGGTCCCCTCCGGTTTTGGCATTGCTTAGGCGTCTAGTGCTACTCTGTCTTCAATGGAACCCGACATGTGCCGGGTGTAGACAATGTCATTGCTGACTCTCTTTCTCGGTTTCAGTGGGACCGTTTTCGGGAGGCGGCTCCGGAGGCGGCGCTGACGGGAACCCTGTGTCCGCCTTACTTGTGGGACCTGGTTTCGGACATTTGAGACGATTGATTCGGGGGTCCTTATCTGAGTCGTCTTGGAAGGCTTACTCCGCCATCTGGGAGCGCTGGTGGGCCATGGGTAGGAGTGGTGAGGCGGCGTCTGACTCCGGAAGATTGACCATTACGCTGTCGTTCTTGGAGTCGTTGTGTGCCGCAGGTAGGTCGGCTGCAGCGGCGGAACAATCGTTGGCTGCTCTCTCCTTTTTATTTCGTTTTTTAGGTTGGTCAGATGTCACCAAGGCTTTCTGTGTGTCCCGCATTCTAAAAGGGTGGAAAAAGCGGCGCGTTCCCGACAAAAGGCGGCCGATCTCGGGGGCCATGCTGCTGCAGCTGTTGGAAGTTCTTCCGGAAGTGTGTAGCTCTACATACAAGGTACTGTTGTTTAGGGTGGCATTTTCATTGTGCTTCTTTGGGGCGCTGCGGATCGGTGAGCTGGTGGCCCCCAGGGCGAAGTCGGTGTCAGCGTTGAAGCTTTCCGACGTCTCAGTGACGCCGGAGTGCGTGACTCTGGTGATTCAGCGGTCTAAGACGGACCAGGCAGGCCTGGGAGTGAGGGTACGTATTGGGCTTACTGGGGGTGTATTTTGTCCGGGGTACTTGTTGCAGGCCTACCTAGGCGCCAGGGGTGGCGCGGAGGGCTCATTGCTGGTCCATATTAATGGGTCTTCCCTGAGCCGTTTTCAATTTGCGAGCCTCTTGCGGAGTTGCATTGTCAGGTTGGGTGGGGACCCCAGGTGGTATTCCTCACATTCCTTTAGAATAGGAGCGGCGACGCAGGCGAGCGAGCTGGGTTTCCCGAAGGAGGCACTAATGCGTCTGGGGCGCTGGGAGTCAGGACGGTTCCAGCTTTACGTGCGCCCTCATTTGCTGTGATGGTATGCTTCTGTAGACATGTGGGTTTAACCGTTATTCTTTGTTTTGTAGGCCAAGTTCCTCGTTATGTGTGGATCCTGGGGCATTCGTATATTTACTGGGCGGCTAGGAGGGCGGAGGACAGATCGCATGGCCGTATTTTGGGGTTCCCGTTTCAGGAAGTTCGGGTACGTTGGCGGGGATTGAAGGGGTTACGTTGGGATCAGGTGTACGGGGAGTGCGAGCAGCTGAGTCGCTGCGTCACTGGCCCAGTGACGCTGATAGCGCATGCAGGCGGGAATGATGTTGGCCAACGGAGGTCGGTGGATCTCATTCACGACATGCGTCATGATCTAGCGCGCTGTTTTGCGCTTTTTCGTGACTTGACATTAATCTGGTCAGAGATAGTGCCCCGCCCGGTGTGGAAGGTGGGAGGTTATGGGAAGGCGTTGGAACGCTGTAGGCGTAAGATTAATGTAGCTATTTCGCGCTTTGTACGTAGTTTGGGTGGAATAGTGATTCGACACTTTGAATTGGAAGGGAATAATTCGGATGTGATGCGTCAGGGTGGAGTTCATTTGACCCCCATTGGGCTTGACATCTTTAATGTGGGGCTGCAGTCAGGCATTGAATTGGCTCTGTCTGCGGGGGGGCGCGAAGCCGGCGCAGATCAGGCTGCGGCAGGTCGGCTTCGCGGTGGCGGTTTTCCCTGGACAGCGGAAGCGAAAAGGAAAGGAGTATGACGCAAGGTCACCTTGGGGAGATGACAGTCGTGGCAAGGCTGATGGCTAGCGACGGCTGGATTGGGCTCTTGGCGAACAAAGAAGGAGAACTGCCTGTTGGGTCCTCACCCAACAGCTGGCAGGAATTAAGAATTAAGTTTTTACTGTTTAATAAAGCTGTGGCTGTTGCCCTTATCCACTTAAAAGGTGTCCAGTGTTTTATTTGGGGCAACGGTGGGATGGTAATGGGTCAGCAGTCATGCTCTTTTCTACAGTTTTGAGTTTAGCGAATAAACCTCTTGATTAACAAACAAAACACATTGACGTATCTTACTTAAAACAGTGAAACGGGGTTTTAAAAAAGGCTTAATATTCAAATTTAGATCAATAAAACTCTGATTCAAAATGTAAGGTATATTCACTAAACAATAAATGGCAATCAGATGACAGCAAAGAAAACGGCACAATTGCGTCTTGGTGGGAGTGAAGCAGAGCTAGAGGAGAGAGCAAGAGACAGGTATGTGAGGTAGAAGTTACTCTGGGAGGCCCAGTGGTTTTGGATTTGTTCTGATCTAGGCAGGGCGGTGCTTATACACCGCCCCCCATATTAAAATTTCCCCCACCCCTTCCTGTCAAGGCCGCACTTTGACTGACAGACACGTTCTTACTGATGCATTCACTTACATACACTCACTAAAATATACAGTCATTGGCACACATACTGTTTAACCAACACACACTTTCACTGACAGACACAGACACACTTACTGACAGACACTCATTCACAGACACACACACCCTTACAGACACAAACTCACTGACAGACAGACACACACACTTAGAGACAGACACAAACACACTTACAGACACACACACATACACACACACGGACATGCACACACTCACTCACAGACACACACACACATTTCCCCCAACACTCACAAATTATTATTATTATTTTTTTTATCTAAATCCACCCAACCTC